GTCAAGAGGAATCCGTAGCTATTGTTAAGCCGCCATGTGATTGAAGTTTGCGTCTATGGCCCGGATGAAGGGGACTGAGGGAAAGGGAGAATCGTGTCGGCCTGTCGGAGGTGTGTGTCCACTCGGAAGAGAGACCAACGCCGGAGATGTGGTGTTGATGGGAGCTCTGGCCGCCTCGGCTTGTCGTCAATACGGACTCGGTCGCCGGTCGTGGAAACGGCGTTTGCAGAGCCGAGCCGCAGCACGGCTTGACGCCAGGCCTGCTCGGTGCGAATGCCAGCTTCCTATTGGCTACGAGGGGATGACTCGACGTGACGCCAGAGGTCAGAGTAGGGCTGCAGTTGCTGTGATTGGTCGACAGTCGCAGTGCCTGTGTCGCGATGAGTCATCTGTTCACATTTGCTCTGTTGGGTGGCGAAAAGAGTGTCGTCTTGGCGAAACAGACGACAACAGTTGAGCACAAGTCGACAGTCCTCGTCACGTCAACACCCCAAGCGGGAGTCGAACCATGACAGCGCAGCGTGTAAGTTCGACACGCAAGTGTTGCTACAGCAACCGACGAGGTTACTTTTCTCGTCAGATGTATGAGTTGTTTTCGCCGTATTTCGTTTAAGGTGATGCAAGACCGCTAGTTGAATTCTCCCACAATGGCACACACCAGCTTTACGCACAGCATTGTCGGACAATTCAAGTACCTTCTGCTTCATCACCTTAAACGAAATATGGCGAAAACAACTCGAGTACCTACTCACTGACGACAAAAGTAGTACAGCTCTTACACCAAATTTTCGTCTGCCCTACGACCGACGCCAACATGGGCGAAGAACAGTTGCGTTTCGAGCAGTCTCTTGTTTCACAATTGCTGAGCTCACTTCCATTTCGGGTGAAGAGATTGGAAGGTCGGACTCCTCTTGACCAGCTGTCGATTGGCTTTACTGGTACATTCATGCTGACGCTGTTTCCGAGGCAATCCTCTTCGATCCCGGTGAAAAGGTGCTAAGCTTTCGTGTGTCACATGACGAACATCATCAGAGCGAGGTAGCATCGTCGCCGTGACTTGGTTACTTCCAGTCATATGTCCACTTGGAAGCATGTAAGTGTGTATGTCTGTGTGTGTGTATGTGTCTGTTGGTGTTGACGTATGCACAAAACACGCAGTGACGCCAACATGTCAACAACACTCGCCGGCTTATCCCTAAATGGTGCAGACACATCCTATGCCAACGCTGTTTGAGGAGGTATAAAGTGATGCGGTCTGTCTGTGTGTGTGCGTGTGTGTGTGGTGCGATGGTGTGATCGTCGGTTGGGTAGTGGTCTCCCTTCGACGCATAGAAGTGGGCCCTTTGACGAGTTGTAGCCGGTTGCTGAGACCGACAAGACGGACTGGCGACGCCGGCGCCACGTCTGGGCATGTACCAAGTCCACGGTCTGTGGCTGGCAATTATGTTGACTACGGGAGCAGACAACTTCACACAAAGTGTGACAAGACCAAGTTGTGAAAACGCACGGTCAATGCACTGCTTAAACTATTTTCCTCTACAACCAGGTCCTGCATCATCCTCCTGCTCTGTTATCGGATCTAGTGCTACTTACAACGTACAACATTTGTGAGATGTTGCTACCAAACCGAGCGACCGGAGTGGAGTGGAGTGGAGGGGGGGTAGAAGAGGTGTCTGCGATGTGGAGCAGAAAGTTGGCCTCTTTGTCGAACGCCTTAGAGACGCGGGAAAGTCACGCCCACCGAGCGAGAGCAGCTCGTCTTCGCGGCGAAAGTGGTTCTGTCTGCACCGGGGCGGCTGTGCAGACGACGGTATCACGAGTCGTCGTGGAGCTGTCGCTTAGGCGACTTTCACAGTCGAGCTGTCTGTCCACACACGCCTGACGACGCGACGATGCGACGCGCACGAAGGACAAATTGCCAACATTGTTGGGCATACTTTGACTTCGTATGACAGTACATGAAGAAGAAATGCCGGGGTCGACGGCAACAGATACGACCTTCAGGTCGACTCAGTTCACGAGACTGGCGCTCTGGTTGTCAGGCGGAGCCTGGCCAAACTTGTGCCCATCCTTTGCAGGAGGTCATTAAGGCTGGAACCCATTCACGTAAAAGGCCCAAGTTAACTTGAGGTCAAGAAAAGTGTTCGGCTCTGGCTTACATTTTCTGTTCGGAAGTGAGTAGGGTTTTGAGACTACCAGTAAATCAGTGTAATGAGCTGTATTGAAGGACTGGTAGTAGAATTTTCCCACAATGATGTGAGTTGAGCTGACTTTTCTATTCAATTTCACATAGACTTGCTTTCCCAAAC